TTTTTTTTTTTTTTCATGAGTATCTTCGTTCTTCTCTACTCAAGCCCCGCCGATACAATGAAAAAAAAAAGAGGTACAGGGTGTTTTGAGTTCGTGGTTGCCGAAATATTAGATCAAAATTTATCACCCCCCCCCCCCGGAAATGCCTTAAAAATCCTATACGAAAACCACAAAATTCCAGGAACGCCTCAAATCGATTTGGTCCCTGAACAACTCTTGTGGCAAATAGGATGTAGATCACTACTAAGAAAAAAAAAGTGAAAAAAGTGAAAAACTCGTGAAGTTATGGCCGGTCAATCAAAATCGGTCTCACACTTTCCGGCACTGTACAGCAGTAGCATGGTAAAGGCACGTTCTCGGTACGTCACAACGTTGTTGCGCGCTTTCGTCGCGCTCATGATTTGTCTTTGTTAGCGGGTTCACCCTTTGTTTTTGCACTACAGGCCACCGAGATCGGTGCAACTGGGTTGTTTACCCCTTTACCTCGCCACTGACTGACCATGATATTCTTTCTGTGGATCGTGCTTCGGATACGTAGCATAGACTCATGTTTCTTCTGTTTCGACGGCTGCAAGGTCAGACTGAGCGATATCCAGTGGCTCGTGCTTTGCTCGAAAAATAGGTTGTCGATTAACGGTACGTGCACCATGGCGATGTTTGGGTAACTTGCTCCCCACTGTGCTTGGAACATGAGATGACTATGTCTCTAAACAGCACACCGAAACCAAGTACCACGGGCTCCTTCCTTCCCGGTACACCACCCACATCGATCCGAAAAATAATTCCCTTTTTTTTCAAACGATAGCGAGGTTACAGTTCTATTTTGCCCAATTGAATTCCCCGCCCGTTTTTTTTCAGTTTTCGGATGGACGGATGCAGCTGCATCTATAGGACCTTGACGCTTTTTCTCCTTGTATCTCCGTGCCGTGCACTCGTTTTACTCCCACAAAATCGGTTCAGCCGTTCCGCGCGGAAGAAACATGGCGAGGTTTCAGACATCGCCGAGAGGTTGGGGGTTCCCCAGCATACGGCTCAAACTGCTCGCTCACGGTGGTACAGTGGTATTTTTCATAAATAGGCTGAGAGGGTATCTGATTTTTTTCTCTACTCCGCAGACGATTCACACAGCAAACTATATATCATATGAAAGCTACGATCAAGAGCTTTCGTTTAAGCACTCTTTTGGCTGCAACTATGATCAAGGGCTCGAGTTAGCCTCGATGGACAGTTTTCGCGGAAACGGGGCGGAGGAGGTAAAATGCGAAGTTGACGGTGAAAAACAAAAAAGTTGCAAAAAAACGTTCTATTTTTGGAATCCTCGCCAGAAATGGGTTCTAAAAACGTTTGGTTGGAACCTCCGAGCGTCTGCGGAGGGCAGACATTTTTCAAACTTGACGGGGTGTCCGTTGCTGCCAGATCTGCGACGGACCATGGTGGTTGAACATGAACTGCTGCAGCTTGTGCGGGCAACTCTGCCAGCTGAATATGACCTCGGAGACGTCGAGATGCACAGATCGGCTCAAAAGAAGTACCGCGTTGGTCTGAAGGCAAGGCACAGCAGTCAGCCGTTACTTCAGTGGTACAGCAGCACCATCACCACGAAGTGTGCACGCGGCAGAAACAGAGACGCCGAGTCCCGAGCTTTGGGAAGCATCAATAGAGAAACATGGCTAGACCTCGCTGGAAAGACTTCCCAGCGTGCAGCGGTCCAGACACCACCCCCGCGAGTTATACCGGCCGTTAGATCGGCCTGTCCTGCACCTGGTTCGCTACGAGAACCTGGCGCTGGCGGCGCGGAGAGATTGCGAAGTGCAGGGTGTGGCGGTGCAAGAGAGGGCAGCGGACGGCCAAAAGGAGCACTGGGAAAAGCAGCCCGGCGAGAAAGAGCTGTGCAGCTGCGCGAGGAACTCGTGAACGCCTTTCCGGACGCACTCAACCTGAGCCCGGGGAAGCTGCAAGAAACGCTGCAGGCGTGGAAGGAGTTTGAACCTGAGTGGTCCGAGGAGGCGATGAAGAAGTACTTGAAGAAGGGAACCTACAGCAAGTCCCAAGCGAGGAAGAAGATCAAGCTCGCACGCGATGCAGAACTCAAAGCAACTGCGGGTAAGGCGGCGGCGTACGAGTTTCGTGCAGAAAGCATGGACTACTTCAGTTCCCTGCTGAAGAATGCAACGAACGCCATCAGCAGAGCAGCGGAACAGGAAGACGTGAGTGCTTCGGGTACATGTACTGCTGCTGTTGTTGCTTTTTTTGAACCTGCTCTTCCTCCGCCTCTGCCGTGTGTTACTCTGGTTTTCTTATACTTTTTTTGGGTGGTTTGAGAACCAAGCTGCTGCTGAACCAAGCTGCTGCTGCCATTGCACTTGTGACACCGTCCAAACGCACCTCTCGTACAACACTGCTGTAGCAACTTGTGCATCCAACAAACTGACTGCTACTGTATGATACCACAAGCATGAGAAATGTTGTGGCGTGTCGTTTGTGTCCACAACAGCTGTGTATTCATCACCATCTCTTCCCCGCTCTATCTGTTTCCCCCACCCGCCCCACAGGAGGCCAGCGCAGCGGACCTGTCCAGCTACCAGCTGGCACACGTGGTCCAGGTAGCCATGACGCTGACCCATCTCTACACCCTCCAGAACGATGACGTCGCCCGTGACGATGCAATCAACATCGCCGCACGCGTGGCACGGCGGAGCGTTAAAACGGTGAACGGGTGGGAGCGTGACTTCATATCACTCGGGGGCATCAAGACGCCGGAGAGAGGTTGCGTCGATCGAAAATTTCTGCCGGAACTCGACGAAGGCGTCAAGGAAAAGGTTCACCAGTGGATGCTAGTAAACTGCGGAATACTGAGCGGGGAAGCCAACAAGACGGCGGAAGACTTCCGCAAGTTTGTCAACGAGGAGATCATGCCCCAGCTGGAAGGGCTGGCGACGGAAGACTTCAACCCATTCAAGGGGTTGAGAGTGCAGCTGGAAGAACAAGAAGCAAAAGACGGCAAGCCCCCCGAGCCTCCCAAGCGTGTCATCTCCCTTTCTACAGCAACGACATGGCTGAAAAAGCTAGGGTGCGAGTACCACGGCGGCAAGAACGGCCTCTACTTCGATGGACATGATGATCCGGAAACCATCAACTACCGAAACAACGAGTTCCTGCCGGAATTGTGGAAGGTTCGCGACCACATGGAAGTGTGGATTTCGGTCACGAACGAAGAAGCGGTTGACTGGGACATTGATGTACATCAAGTGCCGGAGGCCGACCGCTTGCCGGATTCTAGTGGTGTCTGGGTGTGTGTCGACGATCTAGAACAAGCGTTGGCGGATCTGCCAGAAGATCTGCAAGCCAGAGTACAGAGCAAGAAAAAATACCCAGATGGGAAGAGGGCCTTGCTTCTTTACCAGGACGAGAGCATATTTCGAGGTTAGTGGGCAGTCAAGTACTTTTTTTCGTAAAGTTGCGGAACTATGTGGGCGATTTTAATTGTTACTGCTGTTTGCCGACCACATGCTTTCGTTTTATGTTATTTCGCGCGTGTGCTCACTGTGGTTTCCTTGGCCGCCTTCCGTTTTCTTTTCGTGCAACAGCCAACGACGATCAGAAGTATGCGTGGTACAGGCGGGAGCAGCGGGTAGTGACGAAGAAGTCACCCGGCCAGGGCATCATGGTGTCAGGAACGATCATCCACAACGTGGGCTTCTTTTCGGCGTCGCCGGCCCAGATAGACCAGGCCAACCGCAACCGGAAGATGCGCTGCCGGGAGTCAGCTGCTGCAGCTCGACGAGGGGAGAACGTCAAAGAGGAGAAGTACCGGGCTATCGACATGCTGCATGTCGACGAGGACGGAAACTCCTGGTCCTACCATCTCTTCGAATACGGCAAGAACAAGGAGGGGTACTGGACTGGCCTCAAAATGTTGGACCACATGAACGACGTCCTGGACATGGTGGGAGTCCTCTACCCTGAATACAAGCCGGTTTGCCTATTCGACTGGACGTCTTGCCATGACTGCTTGGAGGTCGGCGCGCCGAGGGTAAGCGGCATGAACGTGGGGTTCGGTCAGATGAGGAACGGAGAAGAGCTAGCGCCGATGGATGCCGTGACGATTCTGGAAGAGTGCCCGGGCTTCAAAGTCGGCGACACACAGCACTTGGTTTTCCAGCGGGGGGACGACCCGCCCTTCTACGCCCAGCATCTTAGACCGGCGGAGTATGTGGGGAAGCTAAAGGGTATGCGGCAGATCCTGTTCGAAAGGGGCCTCCTGAGGGCGGGCATGACGAAGACGGGGGGCAAAGGCGAAAAGAACGACCCCATCTTGAGCATGGAGCATGTTCTGGGAGAGCAAAAGGACTTCAAGCAAGTTGAATCTAGTCTAGTGCTGCTGCTCCGGCGGCAAGGGGGGGTCTGCATGATGCTCCCCAAGTATCACTGCGAGTGCAACCCCATCGAGCTCTGTTGGGGCCGTGCGAAGGACTGGACACGCAAGAAGTGCACGTATTCGTTCGAGGGGTTGCGCAAGAACGTGCCGTTGAGCTTTAGACCGGAGAAGGACAGACAGGCGGTTGCGGTAGTGCAGGGATACTGCAAAAAGGCGTACACGCATGCCCTCGTGTACCTCAACGCGCGTGCACTTGGGCCTGAGGGTCAAAAGATGTACAAGAAGTTCAAGTCGCACAGGCGCCCGACGCCGAAGATGTGGAGGGAGTAGAGCGACACGCGTTTTTGTTGACGATTTCAAGACTTTTTCGCATGTTTTTTCCACGCGTTCTCCAGTTTCCCCGCTCAAATTGGTGGATTTTGACGGCGAAAAGGTACAAAAAAGACCCACCCGGACACATCATGTGGTGGTAGCCATAGCTAAAGGTAGTGGCGGGAGGGTACGTGCATTTACGTGGGGATCCGGGGTGGGGAACACGCTTGCAAAAAGAAAAAAAAAGAGAACGGGAAAAAGTAACGGGAAAAAAAAAAGGGCCCACGTCAAAAATTAGGAGAAAAAAGGACCAGGACCGGGGTTCGAGCCCCGGCAAAAGTGACTTTTTTTTTTTTTTTTTTTTTTTTTTGCTCTCAACCCCTCTACCCGTCTCCGCCTCGTCGCGGGCGTACGATATGTACCTTTTTTATGAATTTCTGACACTCCAGTCAAAAGTTATGGAGGGACGACTCTCAGCCTATTTATGAAAAATACCACTGTAGTGATCTGACACATGTGCTCCTCGACGACTACGGCTTCAAAGAAAACGGGTCTGCTCTCTTCCTCCGGCTACGGCTGCTGCTGCTGCTGCTGCTGCTGCTGCAACATAGAAAAGGTCGAACGATAACAAAACGCAAATGTATCAATGGATATTACGTCCCGCCCACACACACCAGGATCACGTGGGCCCTCCAAGGGGGGCTGCGGACGACATGAACACGCACAAGCTATTTCTGGTTAGACTTATCCTACATCTTCAATGTGTGTAAAGCAACACCAGGAACAAAACTTATTTAATAATATGCGCTTTGTGTGCACCACGCACCCACTACAAACATTTGCGACACACAGCACAGGCGTGCAGAGGATGTATCCCTGCGCCCAAAGTAACCCATCGGTGCAACCAAGACACGTCCGTTGCCGCCTCGCGGGACACAAGAACCATGTCCACCTTCATGGTGTGACCGAAAACACACCCAACGCTAATACGAGCCCAGGGCCGGCAAATGTAGCGACCTGGTCAACAACCGACAACACCCGTAGTTTCGAAGACAGTCTAGAGCGAGAGAGAGAGGGGGGGATAGAGGGCCTTCGCGAGGGAGAGAGGGCGCAAGAGAGAGACTCCGCCTTTTTCTTCCTCTTCCGCATACAGCTATCTCAGGAAACGCCGCCGCTCAAGCCCCCTCTCAGACGCTCTCGATCGATCGGGTCCAGCGCTCTGGCCTGCGACAGCGCCATCACCGGCAGGGAGACCGTCACACGCTACCCCCGAAAAGACCCTGCTAGCGGCGGCGCGTGCGTCCCCGACGGACAAAACGGGCGCCTCGATGGTAGCATACAACTCATGCCCAAGGCGGCTTCTACCGCCGCTGCCGCTCTCCCCAGCAAGCCGCCTCCCGATCACCCACCGGTTCCCTTTCGACATGGACGTTCGGATGCCGATCTCCCGGGCAGCGGACGAAGCCGCGCTCCTCCCCGTGCCGCCGCCTTCTCCTCTGGTCAAGCAGGCGTGTATCTCGTCCAGCACGGACAGCTCTTGTTCCCCGCCGGCGCCTCTCCTTCTCATCGCCTCCACCCCGAGGTCGGCTCTGCCCTGCCGCCCGAACGCGTCCATCAGGGGGCCGACATCGCCGCCGGCGCTCCCGTTACCTCCACCATCCCCCCCGCATACATCGGACTCCTTTCGACCCCCGAAAAGCAACAACGCGCTGCTGCTGCCGCCGCCGCCGCTAACGTCGGCAGCTAGTCTTCCGGCGATGGGACCTTCACCAGATGATCCCCAGACACTAAGGCGTTTGTCGTTCTCAGCGCCGGCGGAGTCGTCGCCCACCCCCACCGGCAAGCCAGAACCGCCAAGCTGGGCGGCGGGGGCGGGGGGGTGACGCACAATCCCGGTCCCGGAGAAGCAGGGGAGCGGGGAGTCCTGGTGGTGGATAGCCCGCACCGGCCCCGTCCTAGGAGACTGCTGGCGTCTCCGTGGGTGAACGCCGCCACCCGACCATGCGTTGCCGCCGGCGTCTTCGCCCGCCGTCAACAGCTGGAAGTAGAAATCACCGACGTCGTCCTCTAGTACGGTGAGATCGGGGTCTTCCGACAAGCTCGTCTCTATCGCTCGTCCCAGAGAGAGCAACTGCGTGCGCCGATGGGCCCGGTGAACACACGTTTGGGGTGGAGGGGGGTGTAGGTGCTTCCTTGAACGTAACTCGACCGTTGGCTAAGGATATCTTTCGAGACAGGGCCGTTGGTGGTGGTCGCGATTCAAAACAGGACTGCTATACAAGCGTCTTGTGGTGGGCACTTCGATACACCTGGACAGATGATTGGGAACTACGGACGCACCTGCAATTGACTCCACCCGTTGGCCCCCGTCTGCTCATCGTCCGCTGGCCAGCAAAAGCGTGGTTCATCCGAGCCGTTTACCCCCCCCTGGTCTAGTCGCCGCTGTCCGGCTTCCCCTCGTGTCTCCCGGACATGTGGGTCGTCGCCCGTTGCCACCTCCTCCCCGCCAGCAGCAGCACCAGTGCCGCCGCACCGTCGCTCTCGTTCACGGAAGGCCACGAGGGCGCAGAGGCCGCCCCGCACGTAGGCCACAACTCGCCGTCTCCGCCGTCTCCGGGAGGAGTTTCCACCTGGACCGGTACAAGAAGCCGCATCGGCAGCCACCGCCGCTGCTGACGTCGCCACCTGTGGTGTGCTGCCTCGTCCCGCAAACGCGTCTTCGTTTCTTGGATTGTCTCGTGTGACCCCAGGGCGTTCAGCAACACCGTAGTGGAGTTCGGGGGCCCAGATGGCACAATCTGGTGCGAGAGAGAGAACAAAGACGGGCCGGGGGGGGGGGGGG